TTCACCCCGTCCTGCCTGATCCCAGATGGAGCTCAAAGTGTGGGTGGACGGAGTGGTGCGGGTTGTATGCGGTCTGTCTGAGGAGACGTCCTGTCAAGATGTGGTCATCGCTCTGGCCCAAGCCATTGGTGAGTATCACTCAGACTGCTGTGAAATCATCATGTCTTCATGTTGTGACACATAGCACCTCATTACATGGTTACTTGGCACCTTTTTTCTTCTGCTTGACAGTTTGTCTAAAGGCCTTAAAGGTCCAATGAGTTTTTAACTTAAGGCTGCATGGTATTCAAGTGGTTGCAATCTGCTGGTGCCACTAAATCCTACACACAGGTCCTTTAAGTGACTAGCTAAGAGCCCTACAAAGAGAATTTGAAGCAGACAAAACGAGTACTTGTACACGCTTGCGTTGCAGCAATCCGGGTCTGCACTCACCTTTTCATTCTCCACTGACCCAAATCAAGTACTCTGCTGGACTGTCAGGGGGTCAGTTTGGATTTGAGCTGGCTATCTGTCCCTGTATCCTCCGGCTTCACTCAAGCCATACGCTGCAACAGCGTTGAACAACATAACTCCAGATTTAGCACTCTCCTCCTTCCATGAGTGAGCTGCCTGCCAAGTCATTAGGGAGGGTTTGTCCTGATTTCAAGGTCCTTGTGGAAACTTCAGTTTATTTGAACATTTTTTACATGTTGTGTGAGTCTTACGCAGAAGCCTTTTATTCCAGTCCTTAGAGGCAAAGATTTAGGTATCAGCATCATCATAATGCATTTGATGTCATTTGCTCACTTGCATTACTTGCATAGAAGCAGGGGGAGTAGTCAAACCAACTTGTTTAAGTACACTGAAAGAGAGGAAAGCTCTTGAATAAGTAACTCATCAGTAGTCACGACTGAATTATGTAATACAAGTTTTTATAAAAACCTAATTGCAGTTTCTTCAATATGATATGGTGGTGTTTTAGGTGAGGTAGGCTTTTTTTTTTTTCAGCTTGTAGATGTATTTCTCTGTACTCACTCTCTGTCTCTCTCTGTCCCCAGGTCAGACGGGTCGCTATGTTCTGATCCAGCGTCTTAGAGACACAGAGAGGCAGCTGTTGGCCACAGAGAGGCCTCTGGAGTCCTTGGCTAAGTTAGGCCAACATGGCAATGAAGTTCAGTTCTTCCTGCGCCGTACTGGCCCTAGCAGCAGTGATGGACCGAACTCAAAACAAGATAGAGCAACTCCCCTTCCTCTGCCCAAGCATCCTGAGCCAGAGCCTTCCAAACGCAGCCAGCCTAAGAAAGCACTCACCTTTAACCTGGGGCCATCCACCTCTCCTAGATCCAAAGTCAAACAGTTTAAGAGGTCTCCTCGGGACTCTCCGGAGCAAAGAGCCTCTCCCTCCCCTTCTCCCAGCCCTGTGTCCCCTCATATGCCATCCCCCTCTCCCTCACCACCTATAGGCCCATCCAAAGAGGAGGTCTTCAGGAAGGTTCTCCAGCAACAGGAGAGACTGAGGGCTTTTGAGGCCCAATTAGAAGCCCTAGAGAGGGAGTCGCATACCTTGGAGCGCCCCTACCCATCTCCATGCCCTTCACCGGTTTCTGACGCTCGCTTGCAAGAAGAGATGGACACTCTGGAGCAGGTTGTGCGGAGGAACCAGGCCGAGCTTGCCCATGAGCAATACTGGGAGGAGGAGCTCGAGGCAGAGGTGGAGAAGGAGCGAGGAATGAGGAGGAAGCTGGGCGAGCTCCACGCCACGCTAGACGAATGTGGACGGCGGCTCCACGAGTTCTCTGTTCGCTCGGCTCAGCTGGAGCAAGAGATCCAGCGAGAAAGCCAGGCGGAAAGGAAAACCAACAGACCCGAGGAGTCCCTCAAAGCTGTGAAGGCAGAGCTCTGGAGCCAGGAGAATCACAGCACTGATCTGGAGGAGAAGCTATCTGAGACTGACAAGGCTCTGGGGAAGGCAGAGTCTCTGCTGCAGGTAAGGAGAGAGGTCACGGTTCTGGAAAAAGGGCTGTAAATCCACATCGGCCCATGTGTGGTGATTTAAGGGGTGTAGCACAGACCCTCTTTTAGCTATACTGTAAAACTGTATCCCTCTCCTACCTGCAAACTGCAGCAGACAAACAGTGCAGAGACACTCATAAAAAGGAAAACTGAATGAAAATGATTTATTGTGGTATTTTGATATATAAATAATTATTCAAGGAATTGCGATGACATGAACACTGTATACTCGTATCCTAACTTGCATGAAAATGTTTTATTGTTCTATTTAGAGTCTAGCTGAACTGGTTTGGCCAGTATCAGCTTGTATGCATGTTCTGAACACGTGGTTATTAATGGTGTTTATATTACATTGCCAGTATCTACATTTTCTTGTACCCTGTCTATGGAAAAAGAGATTAAAGAGGATTGTAGAACAAAAGCCCCTTTTATTGGATCCACTCGGCCTCAACTTATGGTAGTTTGTGGTGTCATTGTTTGTTTACTTTGGGTTGTTGTCATAGACACGGCTGTATCAATAAAAGCTTAACCCAGTTCGAAGTGAAACTTGAGTTTCCTCATAATCCACATGAAACAGGACTCGGGTATCCGCTTCATGGTGTTCATTCAGACTAGTTCCAGCCAGGGAAGTGAAGAAAATTAAATTCCTCTTTTACTGTAGTAGGGTGGGAGGTGTTTTAAATGTTTTGTCCATTTTGTCACTGAAAACATTTGTAGTCTAGTGTTTCCATGTCTTCATTAGCCAAGAACCATCCAGACTGAAAGACTGTTGCGTCTCATTGCCAATCCACTTGGCTCCAAATAATAAATAGTAATCTGGCTGCAAAATTGATTAAAACATAACAATAAGCTCATTTGAGTCATCACTCAGTCATCCTCGTGGGGATGTGTCTGACTCTGGGGGTGAACTCAACAGATTTAGTGCCTGATTGATGGAACAGAGAGAGATTGTGTCATGATCTATTTGACAATTATATAGAAAGCAAAGCATCCTGCTGCAGAACAGAGGTATTAGGCTTTTGTTTTTTCATACATAGTGGTATCATTTGTACCACCGTGTCATAACCTGTACTGCAAGAGTGTATAATCCGAAAATAACGGCAACAACTTTTTGCCACCCAGGCAGTTATCGCCTGGAAGAAATTAGATGCTTTTATTTACTGATGTGACGACGACATGTTAACACTGGTAACAAGATACAGTATAATTAGGCTCTATCTGTAGTAATGGGAATGTGTGTGTGTCTGGCTGTGTCAGTCATCAGTCAGCTGATTGGCCGAGGCTGCCAGCCGAGTGTTTAAGCGTTGGTGCTGATGAGCACAGCGTTCCTGTCATTAGGCTAATGGAGGCAGACCTGCAGGTGTGAACTGCCTTCAGCAGTCTGCCTCAGTCCAACATCAATTACACGTATACACACACACAAGCAGGCGCTAGGGTTGGGGGCTATAGCATACCGCTGCTCCTTCCTGCCTGTGTGCAGACACATTGATTAAGCACAAATAGATGGTCGATTAAGACTGATTGACTGGCCTGTGTGGATCACAGTTTAATCTGTGGGCCCAAAGGTGATGCCACTGTCTCGATGGAGGATCTCTGAACCTCAAGTTTTCAATAATGGGGAGCTGATGAATATCTCTGCCACTGACATCTGGTCAGTTATGATAACTTTTAAAAGCAACAGGCATATGAGCATTGTTATGTGTCTATCTATAAGTATGGCTTTAGTCTGCTGGAATCAGACGAATGCTTATGGTAGTTGTTGGAGTTTTGATGATTCATCAGCTGAATGGTCTGATGATGATGGCTGATAGGTGATAGTCTCCATCAGTAACTTGAGACTAGACTTGTAGACTTTGCTGCCCCCTTATGGTAGAAAAATGCTTGGCATTTACAGTTGCAGAAATGTGACCTAAGGCAAAATAAAGCAGTCCTGCCTTTATAGTCATTAATAAAATATGCTGTAAGTTTGGTTATCATTGAAATAATGCAGAAGAGAATCATTTACTGATTAACATGCATTAGGTCATCCCATTTTTTTCAAATGCTGTACCCACTTTAGTTTACAGGTAAACAAGGTGTCAGTGTTTAGTGAATCAGCACTGACTGGTGTGAGCTCAGTCATCCTACTGTTCATTCCTCACTGATCCATGTTCTTTTCCATCTCAGGCCAAACAGGAGGAGCTGGAGGAGTTGAATAAGGAGCTGAGGCAGTGTAACCTGCAGCAGTTTATTCAACAGACAGGTGTCCTGCCAGCGCACACCCACTCACGCACAGAGCTTCAAGAGCAACTGGAGCAGTTAGAACTCGCCCATCTTCTGCAGGATGGATACAGTAATGGAGGTATGGAAACAAAGAGGAATTTTAAAAACTACAAACTCAAAATTATATGCTTGGCTGTGAAAGTCAAATGACTAACATATTTCTCTATACCCGTCAGGCCACAGTGTGACTCTAGTGGAATCACCGCCTCGTCCCACTGCCAAACAGTTCCTGGGACATCCACGCAACCTACAAAACCCTCTAGTATCCAGTCTCAACCCAGAGGGTGTGTATGTGTGAGACCCCCCTGCTGCTTCCCAAGTCCATCCTGCTCTGCTCCTCTCTGCCCTGCCCATCCCCTGGTCCCCCAGAGCCCCCAAACTTTCTACCCCAGCTTGATTGGGTTTAAGGCTACAGCTGCCGTTTTTTGGTGTTGGGTAATGAAAGCATCTGTATGGTGGAGGTCTTTGCTTCTTCTCAGCAGCTCTTCCCTCTGCTCTACCTAAAGGCTGAAAGACTTCTCTTCTGCACTCTCAGTCTTCTGCTGATTCTTGTCCTTAACTTCTTACAGTTGACGTCCATTTTTCTCACATATCCCTGTAGACTTATGCTTTAATTCTCTGGGTTTGTCTATCCTTTCGTGTTGTCTTTACTCCCCGCCCTCCTGCTCTCTTACTGTTTGCTTCTGGACTAACAGTAGCTGCTTTCGTTATACTTTAATGCACCTGGGAACTTGCTCCTAATTTCCCCCCTCTGTAATACAGAGTGGCCTTCCCACCCTCAAGTCAACAATCGTCTACCAACAGCTGCTTTTCACTGTATCTCCATGTAACCCTGATTGTAGCGCAATTTTTTTATACTATGACATGGAAAGATATGAGACCACTGTCATTTCAGTATCCTTTTATGTATGGATACTATTTATATGTGAGTGGGGTGTATCTATACAATGCCTTGTATTTTGGTGACGCTTGACTTCCAAAGAGTAAGAGCCTTTCACGGAGGGCTCTGCAAAATGTATTGCACTGTCCCATTCTCCTCCTGTGTGAAGCCATGGCCCTTGTTTGCCTACAAAGAAATGTATCTCTCTGTTCTCTTTCTGCTCTGCTGGAAGTAAGTGCAACTTATTTTAGGAGCTTATAGCTTTCGCCAGTCTATTTTTGTTGGGCACCATGCTAAAAGAAGGGATACATTTCAAAAGTAGTGCCACAGGGCCATGGTTTGTTAAGATACTTTTCTTTTCCTCTATTGGGATGGATGCGCCTGGTTCTTTTGCTGTCATCACACCTAACATTTGACCTGTCATAACTTGCAATGTGCCTCAGTGTACAGTAGATTTAGGATTAGCTTTCGATCCTAATGACAAACAACAAGCGAACAAGGGAAGCTGTCGTTTTCAGTTTTCAGTGATATTACCATCCAAACCACCTAAACCAATATTTACTCGTCATAGCACTTAGAGAGGCATATAATAAAATGCTATTATGCTGTCAGGTCAAAGTGTTTGAGTGTGCACTCTCTCCTAACCGTCTACAGTGTGGTGTTTCCTTTGTGGGATTATACAGCTGCTTCTTGCTTGGGAAACTACAGACCATCTCAGTCTCTGTTAAAGAAACATGCTTGACTACAAGACTTTGTAGTTTGTGTCCACAACCTCTACGGGGTAAAGGAATTAGCCCGTAATTGGTCTTGTGTTGGCTTCTCATTGGCATGTGTGAATATCTTGATTGCAGGTCTCTCCTGCTGTGTCTTAGCTGAAAAATGTTTTCCAAACAAAGGGATCATCATCCCCACTTATTTTTGTGTGTCTTGCAGTCCTGACATCCAGAGAGTCGTCATGGAGATAAAACATGGACCACAGGGCCAAGGGAAACTTGTTCACTGTTGTGTCACCGTCACCGCCTATTTACCCCTTTCTTTGTAACTCTTGTCATTATTTAATCATGATATACATACTGTATATACATAAGACAAATATATTTACTGAGTTTTGCTACTGTACACACTGCAAAGTATCTGTATGAAATGTAAAATAATTTAGAAACCTTTTACCTAGAGCAATTATTACTATGTATTTAAATATAATAAAAATGTGCATTGTGTTTTAGATAATCATTTGTTGAGTGCTTGTTTTTTTCTTAATACCCTGTTTATGGAATCACATTGTATTATAATCATCCTTGTAATTACTGTAACAAGGAGAGGAGGTGCAGTGCATCTGGAATACCCTGCAGTAAATAATTAACACACCAGCGTACACTTTCTAAAAATTACAGGGCCACGAAGCTCCTATGTGAAATGCAATATGAATATATTATAGCCACTGAAATATGCATGCTCTCTCCTCATTGCTTGTGGTACAGTGAGCCCTATGATGCATGATAATTCCAGGGCATTTTAAAGCCAGTATTCACAGGTGGCTGGTTGAAAGTTCACAAAGTGCATCCTTGGGAGCAGAGGGAAATGTGGCAAACATCCTGACATCACAGCGGCTGCTGTTATAGATGATGTAATGGACTATATCTACAAGAATTGACCATAAAGGGCACTGCATACTTGTGAGCATTCGAGAAGCCGGGCTAGCAATCCACTTAGTTGTTAATGTATCTTGTCAATGTGTTTTTTGAAGTTCCTTGTATATTCATGCTATGAGTATAATGAACTGCCTCTTCCTCTTACCACCAGAGAACATCTGATAGCAGAAAATTGTGGACTTTACCCCACTGAGTCCATGTGTGTTCTGCTTATCCTTAAATTACTGACAACAAAACGCCTCATTGTTTTGTTATATTCTGTCGTTTGTGATAAAAATCACCCTGGCATAATATGGTAAACACACAGTAGCACGACTATGGGCTGGCTTCTGCACACTTTTGTCCTCCACCCCTTTCCTGTTTGTTTACCCGAGAGAGTAAACATACTGGCTGTCACACACAGTGAGGGACTTTAGCTTTCCTAGTGCTCTGGCTAACCCCGGACTGAAACCCTGTGGATTTCTATTAATACTCTCATCTGCTGACACTTGCCAGGTACAACCCTAAGCATGCACATATTTTCTTTCCACGTCCACATATACATGAAGGGATATCAAAAACATCAAACATCAAATATACATATATTTTTAATCAGTCATTTCCACTTTACGCCAGTGTTGTCGAGGCTTGACCACGTGTTTTGAAGTAAGGAGATAGATATTATGATTAATTATGTAGAATTGGATTTTACTGAGAAGATTTAGAGCTGTCTGGCTTGGCAGGGGTTAGATAAGCTCCAAATCCTTGTTTAGTTCCCACTGTCTGGACAAGCCCACAGCATGGGGCAACACTGACGCCTATCTGTGGACGTGAAGGATACTACACGCACACCTAAAGGCTTTCTCTTTGTATTTCCCACCTTCTACATTTAAAAATAATATTTAGTGCAAGGTCATGCGATCATGTGATGCAGAGAAAAAAAAAGTTATTTTCCCCCCATTATCCTCCATTCAGAGTGAAAAATATCCAACCTAACCCATTTCATATCTAAACCCAGAGGAGTCCAATCTCATAAACAGGACATTAACAGATTATGATGATGTTTCAGGACACCACGCTGAGGGAATTAATTTTGCTCATACAATGGCACTCCACATGAACCCCATCCAAATCTACTGTGGAAGGTTTCGGATGAATGTAAAAGCTGGACGTTTGAGCGCTTTTGGATGAAAACTGATCGATGCGTTTTCATGACAGGGAACCGGGTGTCTGGGAAAGAACTTCCTCGAGGTGGATGAGAGTGAGCATCTGCACGTCCACATTATGATGATGAATGGGACCACAAGTTAATGAGTCTGACATACTGCACTTATCTATTCCTCTGTGTCACAGTGAGTCATTATGCACTGATGGGAATACAACATCCTCACTGATACCAAGAAATGCATTGCATTGTGAAACAGAAATTAAGATACACGATGCCACAATTGATTTGAGTAGAAACTTTACTTTTCACTTGGGGGATTTGTTACAAACAAACATGGTGTAATACATATTGTTGAATTTGTTCCTACTTGGAACTCAGATTTGCTTCACAATTTAGTTTAAAAAAAAAAATGTGAAACTGCCTCTACTAAGGGTGGACACATTACTATATTATTTTCCATTTAGTTCTAATACTAAATTCAGTGTCTTTATAGTAATGCTCACTATTGTCGGAGGGCCCCTGGGAACATCTTCAAGAACTCCTGGAGGGCCCCTGACCTCAAATTTGAAAGCAGCCAGTATGATGATGATTATCATGTCCAAACCACATGAATGAAACAGAAACAGAAACAAAACACTCACCAATAGTCTTGACAGAAGGTGGCACTAGAGAGGTCGGGCTCCATAGGAGGCAATGTATAAAAGCTACTGGCCCTAAATAAGGGGACAGTATGTGAACATAGGAGGAAGTACCCTACAGTACACATGGAGACCGCTGGGAGAGCAGTCATGTTGAACAGGCCCTGTCCCAGCAATGTGCACGGGACATGGTCAAGGACTGCTTGTACTGTAGATAGGTGTCTGTCTGGTCCGGCTGTGGCTGGTCTTGAACGAGCCGAAGATGAGAAGTGTTCCCAAAACCAGGTTAGCCGCTGTCACACGCACAGTGGAACTGGCAACTGGCACAATGTGCGTTAGTCAGTGGCTTACCTGCTTTTAGATTTCAGATATTATACTGACAACCATAGGCACACAATCTGTGGAGTAACACAGACAAAGGTTGGCAAATGAAACAGTAATAAAACACGCTAAGTCAACATTAAGAGTGTAGATTAGTATATATTTTATTCACATGAATTATACTTATTATATTTATACTAAAATAGCCTTATTTAAATGAATCTGCACAACACAAAATTATATAACAATTCAATTCAGTCCACGGTGTATTTGGCTACCGTCTATATTGAAATGCTTTCCATTTCAATTGTCATGAAAAAAGTTCCAAAATCATTAATTATTACATCTGACAAAAGTAAAGAAATGTATACACAAATTACATCTCATGATACATTGCATGTGGCCTATTCATCCACACCATATAGAGAGAATAAAGAATAGTGGCAGATAAAGGGAGCTACTTACCAGTCCCAAGTTTTCTTTTGGATTAATTTTAAAGGCAGAAATCTTTCATTTTCACCGACAGGACCCTGTCTACCATCTGTCCACACATCCAAATTGTTTTTTCTCTTAAAGAAATCACAGTGCATGATTAAAGTTACGTGCATTTTAAGACTATAGTGTAGCCTACACCGACGCAGAAGTTCAGTTCACTTGCACTACCCCTACCCTGCCCACTCCCCTGCATCTGCAACCCGACCTGGTTATGCAAATTGGGGGGGAAACTGGCATCGTGCACAGCCAATGTGCTGCCGAGTTGGAGTTGAACGACCCACCCATCGTAGATAACCGACCAATAAAAGTCTCCAGGAGGCGGGCTTTATCATGAGAGCATATTAGGTTGACCTTTAGAGTTATAGTTGGGGTGCGGCGCGTTCAGTTCTGCACGTCGTACATTAGGAATGAACCATTATCATGTGAACAGTTTCCTGCCCCGGCCGATTATTTATTGCAAACATCAATGCGACACAGGTTTCTCTTCCCTTAAATAGACGCCATGTGATGCGACAGCTGCTGCTGGAGCTGGGATAAGTGTACTTTTAGCCGGGTTGATAAAGGACGCCCCTACCCCTACAGTGCGAAGTGGTTGAACTCGGCTTACTTGTGTACAGTGTTGCCATGAGCGGAGTGTGGCTGTGCACGTACCAAGGATGCAGCACGACAGTCTGATCTGATGATGACGAGGAGGAGGTGGAGGAGGAAGATGATGAACGCTCAGTTATTTACGGAACGGGAGTTTTAGACCTCCCTAACATCATTAACACGTTTTATTACGTCATATTAATTTAGAAATACAAATAAACTGTTGTTTTTTTCCTGATTCCCCTTTAAATTTTAAAATCAAATAAAACAAATTGAAATTCAATTGCAGAACATTTATTATACCCAGTGAAAGAATAGTGATCCCATCATGTTATGATCAACATGGTAGATTTTTGTCAAGGTTAATTCTAAGAAAACACCCCATGTGATGATTAGGACATGGTGTTCTCTCTTTGTTTCTAGGATATTATCACACAATTTTTTTTGGTTTTAGTAGGCTGATACTACTCCAGAGTTTCCCTCTGATCAGTTTTTGACTGTCAAAGCCCTGTGGGATTATTCACAGCCAGGATACACATAACCCCACGATGACATGAAGTAGTAAATCAGGATTACATTATATTATGTAACAGCTGATTTTGTCAAGTAAAAGTTACCACTTGGGGGCGACAGTGGTACTAGATTACTGTACTGACTGCTTGGGGTTCATGATACTCCTGGCAATAAATATTGTAGTTACTGTCGTAATATTTGAATAATTATCTTATCAGATGTTTCAAATGTTCTGATTACTGTAGAGTGATGGTCTGGTAGGGGATGTAAAATATAACTTTGTCATAATTGATCATTAATGTGCACTTTGAACTATACTACTAGTTGTGTCAAGGTGGGTACTGTTATTTATATCCACACTCTCTGTTGTGACTGCAGTGTTTTCTTTTAAAGGACCAGTGTGTAGGATTTAGTGGCATCTAGTGGTGTAGTTGCAGATGAAACCCCATCGCTTCACCTTCCTGTTCCAAGCGTGTAGGAGAAACTACAGTGACTGTGAAAAACGCAAAAGGCCTTATCTACCGCCAGTGTTTGCTTTGTCCACTCAGGGCTACTGTAGAAATATGGTGGTTCAACATGGCAGACCTCTGTGGAAGAGGACCCGCTCCCCCTGTAGATATAAACGACTCATTGTAAGGTAACGAACACACAACAATCTTTATTTTCAGGTAATAATACACCAGCGAAAACCATCTCTATGAATATTATACTCAATTTCTGCCAATAGATCCTCATAAATGTTACACACTGGACCTTTAATTGTGCTTGTGTTGTGTGTTTTGTACTTCTCTACTCTCTCTAAAAGCCAATCAAAATGTAACTCTAATGTAATTCTGACTCTTACACCCAACCCTGTATGCATTACATTAATGCACCCCCGTCTTCTGTAGTCTTCTTATCTTTTCTTATCTTTCTTATCTTTATTTATTTATATTTTTTTTTAAAGTACTTTATTCTCGTGTGATTTTTGTGTGATTTTTATATTTTTGTGTGATTGTATATTTTAAGCACAATTGCACCAACACAAATTCCTCTATGTGTAAAAACCTACCTGGCAATAAATCTGATTCTGATTTAGTAATGGTAATAATAGCATGTTTTCAGATTTTAGATTTTGGTTACTGTTGTCTAAATTCTGATTACAGAGAGTGCTTCTAATGCATTTAAACACACTCGACTTGACATAAACACGTACAGTAATTATATCCACGTGTATACAGTATGTCTACGACTACTCAACTAAATGGATACTGTCTCTTTAAGAATCGCCCGAACGCACTCGGCCATTTCCGTCAGTAACCAGCCGGTGGTGTCACTCAACAACAACCGTGGAGACTTCAAATCACTCTCACATACCTACCTTTACTTAGGGTAGGTTCTGAAAAAAATACTATTAAAATTGACGCATTGGATGTCTTAGGTACGAGGGTTGAATTGGGAATTAGTGTATAATTCCTCCACACACACTGTTTCTTAGTATAGGGTCCGACAGGAGCTCGCTACTCGTTCGCTAAATTTAGCTAACACGCTTTACAGAAGCTAATGTTACTAACTCAGCTACCGTCATTTGTCCAGGAACAGCGTTACAGGCTGGTCCCATACTGCCGTCAGTGCGTATATCTACATAAACCCTGCATGTGTGCTTTATGTGAGGCATAAAAGAAGCACTCTGTTTGGTGCACAGTTTTCGTCTTTGTTTACAAATGTAGCGTTAGCACAGTCTGCAGACTGCTGTTGGCCAGCCAGTGTTACCTGTTCAGTCAGTGTAAAAGTACGTAACCAAAGTGTGTCCATTAAAAGCGCTGTTTCATAGTTTCAAATGTCACTCGCGGGGAGTAAGAAGAGCTTGCTTGTCTGTTCACTGTAGGTATTACTACACCTAGTAGACTAAGAGCACATGCTTGAAGATCATTTTACCTTTCTGCTCAAGGACTCAGACAGGAAGAACCTGCCCTTCTCACCTGTCCTTTAAAGAGTGAGTAGATTGCCTTACGTGTTAGCAGTACACATCATTTTCTTAATTTAATCCAGTCCTTGAATATGTATATTATTTAAACACTGTCTGCGACTGTGTTCTATATTTAAAGGATTATTTTAGAGAAAAGCTGAATTGTTCTTCTGATGGTCAGCCATGGATGAAGATGACAGCCAAGATGAGCTGATCAACCGCAATACATCCCAGAGCAAAGGGAAAAGGGCTGCGTTGTGGGCCATCTCAGGTAGTTTGTTATGCATCATTCAGAGCGGATGGACAAATGCCTCAACTCTTTCAGCAAATTGCATCCACTTCCATAAGAGTACAGTGTCAAACAATACCCGGAAGCTTTTAAGACCTCATGCATTGTCTGTGTATTTGTTTATTTATTTTTTAACTTCCTAGATGACTCAGATGATGTTGAAGAGGAGTCTGAGGAGGGAGAATCTGACAGTGGTGAGGAGGAAGAAGAGGAGGGTCACCTAGATGGAGAGGAGGAGGAGGAGGAGGAGGAGGAGGAAGAAGAAGAGGAGGATGGTAGGAGTGACTGAATATGCAATTTATATTGTTGTCAAATATGATGATGATGGTGGTCTACTGTTTTTCATTAAATTACAAAATACACTATTTTTTACTTGCTCTCATACACACTATTGGATTTTATTTACTTGGAGAGTTAAACGATGAAAAATAAGCAACTGTGATACATTACACATGAACAATAGATTTCTATCCACTTTTATCAGATGAGGAAGAAGAGGAAGACGTTAAGGCTGAGGATGGAGCTTTTGGGGGAACATCTGCTGACCTTGCGGGGATGAGCTCGGATGAAGACACAGACAGGTGTCCCATCTGCCTTAACTCATTTAACAGCCAGCCTGTTGCAACACCAGAGAGCTGTGAGCACTATTTCTGTCTCGACTGCATCCTTGAATGGACCAAGGTGGGTCTAACTTGATGTTGTATGAGTGCAAGGAGAAAGCACTTTGTTAGATAGCACCTTATATGCTTTTATCCTCAGTATGTGCTCTGAAATGAAAAACAATTTGAGGAAGAGGAAGCTGAATGGTTGTGGCTATGTTCTACCCTGTACAGAATGCCAACTCGTGTCCTGTAGACCGTATTGCCTTCAACAGCATATACCTAAGGAAATGTTACGGAGGCAAAGTGAAGAAAATGGTGAGTGCGTTCAGTGTTTGGTGGCATAACTCCTGGTACATTTATTACTCTACATGCATTAATGTTGTGTGGGCTTATTGCTTGTGTGTGTACGTATTTTTGTGACCGCTTCATTTAGATCACAGTTCAAAAGCCTGTGAAGGAAGGTCAAGAGGAAAGAGTAGATTTGGACCTGGAGCAGACCAGCTGTGAGGTCTGTGGAGGCAGTGACCGTGAGGACCGCCTCTTGCTCTGCGATGGCTGTGATGCTGGGTGAGCTAGACATTACTGCACTAAATAACCCTTTGTTCTTGTGTTAGTTAGTTGTGTTAGTGTTCAGTCAAACCTGTCAGAATCAGAAATACTTTATTGATCCCTGTGGTGACATTTGTTTGTTACAGTTGTTCTAACCACACAGTGTTAAAGAATAGAAATAATACTTATATTATAATAACAATATTATCAAAAGAGAAATTTGTTAAGCCTTTTTTTGTTCCATAGGTATCACATGGAGTGTCTCACGCCACCTCTGGACTCTGTTCCTGTAGAGGAATGGTTCTGCCCCGAGTGTGAAGCCAACAACCGTCACTCAAGTAAGCCTTTAAGTTACTCGATTTTTTTTTTTCAATTCATTTGCTCAAACAATACTTTGGATTTGGCAGTCCTTTGCAGACAGGAAGAAAACTGAATCGGAATATTCCATCCTGTACTATACAGTATAGTTCAGGGTTTTTTGAAAATGTTGCCATGGTAACTTTTTTATGTATTTATTTTGAATTCATTCTATTTATAGAATTGTTTTTTTATGAATGTCACTTTCGACAATTTTAAATTTTTCAACTTTTTACCAATTTTTTCAAGTCGAACATTTATATTTTCTTGACTCAGGGGGTTCAGCTGAAGAAGTTAGTGACACAGAGAGCCTACCTTCTACTGCCCATCCTGCTACCAGTCGCTCCCAGTCCCACGCTGCCGGTCCCACTAGAGCTATCGCCCGGACTCAGCAGAGTGAGAGGGTTCGAGCTAATGTCAACCGTCATCGCATCACACAGGCACGCACATCACAGGTTTGGCATGAGGCGTGATGCTTCTGTTTTGGCTTATCTTCTAACTTTCATAGCATATGCACAAGGCTGGATCTTGCAGAGATGGCTTGAAAGTTTGTTGTTGTGCAGATTGGGTTTACTGATAACATTTATAACTCACTGTGTTGTGTATTTGGCTAATGTACTTTAGTGCTGTTGATGATGGCATGTGTTTTTGACATTTGCCAATTTGATAAGAAGAAGATATACTTTATTATTATTATTATACTTTATTGTGTTAAGGAGCAGTGCATGTATTTGGGAGTTGTGTTTAGACGTCAGTGGTTTGTGAGAACATACCAGTGGAGTAATACAACCTTTTTTCCGGTTAGTTGGCTCCTACGTATCTAATACAGTCTACTTGGCTGGATGAAACAATTAATGCTGTAGTGGCTGGGCTCAACACGTCTGTGTATATACGAGACTTCACACCTCGTGTCCCATCTGGCCACAGGCGCAGTAAGTAAATACACAACACATTTCAGATTTTACAACCACATGCACATGAACAAAGGTAGTGGAAGGATAAGCAAGGGAGGATATGAAATAGTAATGTGTTTATGATGAGGGATAACTTTTTTATTGATTGAACAGGAAAGCGCAGAAAGGTAAAAAGGAGGAAGACATCTTCTGCTCTGGGTAAAATGGCAAGTACAGGAGTGAAGAGGAGGAAACGGAAAATGAGGAGGACTAAATCCAAAAGAAAAGCAGTGAGTGTGTGATCAAGATCAGTCTTGATTTTTGTGATTTACTTTTAACCGGTTCACTAGAATAATTTCACGCTGAATGTGAACAATCATTATTTTCTCTCTAGACAAACTCTAAACCTATGTTTTCCCACTAGATGTTGAAAAAGGCAGCCACTCCTCGACGCCGTATTGCTAATAATCTGGGAATTGTAAAGGACAAGAAGAGCTCTTCGCTTCCTACAGTATACCGACCATCAGAGAACACGCTGAGTGGCATGCGTGCTGACATAGGTGCTGCATCCCTGTCTATCTATGGAGATCCATTTGACCTGGATCCATTTACGGAACGGTAAGAAGACTTACTTAACTCATATTGTTGGACTGGTGCAAATACCATTTTACTGACTTCATATATTGATTCATTCAATCATTAATTTATCATTCAAGTTTCTGATATGGTAAAATGTGTAGGGAATGTATAGAGATGGTTACAAGTGTCTCTTGCATACTGGTCTAGTGTGCCTCACTCGTTGGTAACTTCTTTGAAAAGCTTTTTTCTTATCATCTGGAAGTGTAAAATGCTCCCAAGCTGTTTTCTTGCTGTTTGGCTATGCGATGCAAATCGTTTTTTGTAATTAAATAATGAGTGCCAACTTACAATTACAAATCCATTTATGTGTGTTTCACTGTGGTTATGTATTTGTATGTAGCTGAGCATATACAGTGTTAATTAATAAGCAAATTGTGCCTCACAAAATTGATTTGACCAGTGAGGAGGAAGAACAGCAGGCAAATGTTACATCACTGTTGGAGGCCAAGAGACGAGGAATCTCTCGCTCTGCCCTTCGCTCTCACCAGCCTGTTGCTCGACCAGTCACTGCAAGCCTTTCCAGGTAACATCCCCTTTTTGCCATGATGTGTAGGGTTGGTTATCCAGAACAGGTTCTGATTTGGATATTGTCATTGATGAGCCAATTAAAAATCTGAAATGATAAAACAATCATTCCACACAAACTAATTTGCATCACGTTACACATGGTTTTGCTTATATGTAATACCTCATAATTTTCTCAGTCTTTGTGATTAACATGGTGTCTAACTTGATTAATATTTATGGTATTACTCATGGTTGATCTAATAAATGGTTTGCTTTGCTATACCAGGAGGGGTATGGATGTCCCCCAATCAGGGGGTGTTGTGGAGGCGGCTCCTGTACCTGACCTACTGGGCAGCATCTTATCAGGACAGAGCATGCTCTTGATGGACAGCTCTGATGTCGTTATTAATCGAGATGGTTCCCTTAAAGCTACAAAGCCAAGTAAGTGTGTGTGGTGCATTTTACATTTCAAGTGTAAACAGTGAAATTTAATTAAATGTATTGTAGCTGTTTGATTAGAGATTTTAGCCACTTGGTGGTTGGGAGAGGCAGACAGGACTAGACCATTTATTATGAAAATAATTGATGCTATTGAATTAGGGCTTGAATTGAATTTATTTGCATAAAGTGTAGCTGTTAAATATCAAACAACTTCAAATAAATTGAGCCTGACTGCTTCATATAAAATGCATGTCCAGTTGGTGAATATCAAACTTTAAAGTGGTAGCGAGTTTTTCCTCACTCATTCTCAGATGATTGTGATTGACTGAGCCTGTCGCTGTCACCCTTTCTTGTTTTCTGGTTTTCCCAACACTGGTGTTTTATTGCGAGCAGTGTACAATATGTAATCTAGGTCTCTCATAATAATGACTTTTTTTGCATCCCAATTACAATGAATGTTCTTCTCTAAAACTCATTGTTCTTTGAAAGTGTTAGGAAATTGTCTTAAAATGATAATATTGTTTCACAATTATTTCTGGGATAATGTATTGTCCAACAAAAGTAGTTTTTGTGACAGGCCTAGAGCAGAGTGAAGCAAAATAACTGAATTATTCCACTTTTTATGTGTGTTTTTTTTTGTGTTACAGTAATGCCATCTGCAATAAAGCCAGGTTGCAGCAGAAGTAGTAGCTCAGGAGATGCCAGCAGCCAGATCAACCAAGTGATGTCACCCAACGAAGGAGACAGTTTTCTGTCTTCTCACTCCAATGGAGACCTACCGGGATCCTCCCATAGCTGCACGAACAGACCTTTCTCCCAGAGATCTTCTCACTCTCCCGCCTCTGTGACCTCCTCAGCCAGCCACATCCAACCATCTCCCCATTCAGATTTACCACCCCGAGGTCATCCGAGTTTGCACCCTCCTCGTCCAATCAGACACGCCCATCCTCCTGGTCATCGGGGAACCAATGGAATTAGAACCCCCAGCCCCACCTCATCCATCCACCCCACAATGGACTCCAGCTCCAAGAGCAAGGGAATAGCCCCATCACATTCCCAATCTAAAAAAGCACCTACAAAGCCCATGTGGGTAGATGTGTCAGTGCTTCCTAGGATACCAAAAATAAAAAGGGAGAGCAGCGGTATCACAACTGATGGCAGTAGCAGTAGTAGTAATGGTTACGGCATGCTCGAAACAGGCATGAACAGCCTTGCTGGGGACAAGGGAAGGCAGCAAAGTGTAGACCAGAAAAAGGGCAGGGCTGACGGTCATGCCCAGAGGCAGAGGCCTGATGGAGCAGGCTCGTCATCTGCCTTCTCCAACTCATTCTCCTCTTCTTCCTCTTCCACTGGTTCCCCAGCCAGCCATTCACGTTATTCCTCTTCATCTTCATCTTCATCAGCAGTGAGCTTCCGCATTAACTCCAGTGGGAATGCCTGGCATTCAAGGCAGCTAAGTGGCGCGTCATCCTCTGCCAGTGGAGGCAGCATGCAGGAACCCTGGAGAGACAAAGAAGATGAAGCAAGAAAGAGACAGCTCCACAGGGATAAACAGATGCTCTTGGCATCACGTACACTGGTCAATCAGGAACAAGAAAGTAATAATATCTATGATCCCTTTAATCCCACTCTCTCAGACTCAAACAGCTCAGACGATGAAGCTGAGAGCTCAAGTCTGGATGGTAGCTCCCGAAATGCCACACGTGAGGTGAAGGCCCCTAGTTTAGGAAATAAGGAGGGTTTAGTGCAAAGCAAGCGGGACTTGGTTCGTGTGAAAACTGAATCACAGGAGATTGAGATTTCAGAAGAAGAACCAAGGAGAGTCAGTGCTCAGGAAACGTTATTACAGGAGACCAGATCTTCAGAGGTATGTGTAAAGGTTGAAAAAGAATCAAGACTAGTAGACACTAAGGCTGACAAACGAACAGCATTGCTTGACACTAAAGTTAAGATAGAGCCAGGGTTAGATGATGGAGGGGGAGCTAAAAGGTTTGGTGACAGGGTAAAAAGTTGGAATTCGGAGACAGCAGACACCATACCACTGGATCGTTTAAAGACTGAGAGAGAGACTCTGGAAGAGGAGAGTGTTGGAACTCCCAACAGTGCTCCCCCTAATTATAAGAATGATTCATCATCCTCCAGCTCTGCTCCCACCAAGAAGAAACAAAAGGCTGAAACTAAATCAGAAACTAAATTGTCTCGTTCCAAGTCCCCATCTAGAGATTTGGGCCATAAGAAGAAAACCTTTCAAGCTTCCAAAGAGCAACGCTCTAGCACTCCAGAGACAGACAGAGGCAAGAGGGAAGACCATCACACCTCAGGCCAGGAAGGCCGGCAGAAAGAGAAGAAGGACAGAGAAAACAGTTGCAGGCGATCAAGGTCCAGAGAGAGGAGGAGGGCACGCTCCACCTCAGAAAGCTCTCAGTCCAATTCCCCTGATAGGACTCGCAGAAAGAGACGGCGGACCCAGTCACGATCCAAAGACAGGAGGCGATCAAGGTAAACATAGTGTAATATTTTGTCCAATATTCCAACTATTAGTATTGGCTATTAAGTAATCATCTGTTTGATATTGGGACCTTTATTGAAGATGGTTTTCTTTTAGTTATGAGGTTTTTGTGTCATTTTTGATTTTAGGTCTGGTTCAAGCACGAGTAGCAGGGAGCGTTCACGGAGGAAGAAACAAAAACAAAGCAAGGAGAGAAATGATGGCAGAGAAAGGGACTGTGAAAGAAGACGGGTATCAAAGGACAAGAGACGTGGCCGGTCTCGCTCGAAATCTCGGTCAAAATCACGTTCCAGGTCCACATCGAGATCGAAGAACCGTAAACGTGGTCGGTCTTGCTCAAAATCACGGTCCAGGTCCAGATCTAGGGAAAGGAGGACAGACCATGCATGTCTGCAACAATCGCCTCTCCCCTCCAAAGACAAGGTAGAGTCCCGATCAAAAGACAAGAGGAGACACAGGACTAGATCCAGTTCAAAAGAGAGAAAGAAAGAAGATGGGTCATCATCCAAGAGTTCACAGAAAACTTCAGGGTCTGGTGTTTCATCCTCTAAAGATGACACAAAACTGTTACAGGCCAAGAAAAAAGAGAAGGATATCATTCGAAGCTCCATCAAAGAGGAAAAAGTCGCTACAGTAAACGAACAGGAGACTCCCTCCTGTACCTCTGCCTCTAAAGTTAAAAAACAAGACAATGACCTCAGAGCAGACACCCAGGCCACAACAGCAGAAGCAGCAACAGAGACAACGGTTGGAAAAGAAATTAAGAAAGAAAAACAACCATGTCTTGATATGTTTGAAGATTCTCCTATTACTAAACCAATTAAGAAAGAAGAGACTGACATCCTTGCTTTGACGGTAGTCCAAGGTAAAGATGCAGAGGGAAACAAAGACCCTATAAAGACAAAGATGATCAAGTCTGAGCCTTGTGAAATGATCAAGTCTGAGTCTTGTGAAATGATCAAGTCTGAGCCTTGTGAAATCCCCATAATTAAATCCGAGCCAGGTTCCCCAGAAATATGCCACTTGTCCTCTGTCACCTCGTTTTCTACACAGAACACACCTGTTACAACAGACAGCCTCCAGGATAAAGTCTCTCAGTCTCACCCAGTATTAACAGCCTCCACCGAACAACCAAACACTGCTGCCTTGACTGTCCTTGTCAAGCAGGAAGTTCAACTACCCTCAGACTCTGATGATGACTTCAGTGTTGATGTGATGCTTGACAACCTGGACTACGTGAAGTCTGAGCACACAGAGGGAAGCGCTGTGTCTGTCAAACAAGAGAAGGAAGTAGAGGAGGGAAAGAATGACTCCACAGTAATGGGAGTGAAATCTAAGACTCAAGTGAAGAGGGTTACCTGGAATATACAGGAGCCTGAAGGGCCTCAACCAGGGAAATCTGCAAGCAGTAAGTGTTGCTACTAGATTGCTTGACACCAGTTTTTGTCGGCTGCGAAATGTACTTGCCACTGGATGTCATACTAGAGGACCAGCATCTCAGAGCAAGACAATGGAACAGAAATGAAATAAAAATCATCAAAACCCAAGATGCTGGGACAGAGATAAAATAAAACTTACCAAAACCATCTTTGTTAGTATTTCCATGGTCTTTCCAACAATCAACAACGTTGGTTTGGTCGAAATATATCCTTAATTCACAGAATTAGGAGGCTGAGTCCTTGATGCAGCGGCTCAGGGTTCGAGTCCAACCTGCAGCCCTTTGCTGTGTGTCATCCCCTCTCTCTGCCCCCCCCCTTTCCTGTCAGCTGTCAATTAAAGGCAATAAAAGCCTCCCCCAAAAAAAGAGCTGCAATGACTGCAACGTAAGCTAATGTTAATCTTTGGGGACAAATGTGCATGTTAAAGAATGTGCTTGATTTGGCTACTTACAGGTTGAGTTAGTTATTCTAAGAGTCTGAAAACATTAACGAAAGGATCCCTACGGAGATATACCTTTTGTTTAACTAGAAAGCGTCGCTATAACTCACCATACTCCAGAAAGAAAAACGCATAGCATTGTAACATCACAACTTCATTCAAAGTAGACAAAAACAAAGTATAACTCACCAAAACTGTCTTTATTAGTCTTCCCACTGTTCCAGCAATGACAAAATCTGGTTTGGTTGAAATAAATCCTTCATTTACCAACGTAGATGAGAAAAAAAACAGCAGTTTCAGTCTGCTCACCAACACATGGAGCAGATGTACACAAACCAGAAAGAGGCTGCAATAGCAACACGCAGGGGAGTGTGACATGTGATGTAAATAAGTGAAAATTCATAAGTAAGATATAAAAAGGGATTCTAGATTTTCACACACAATCACCAGTTCTTTTGTGTTTCTTACATGCACATGTGTAACATTTGAGTAACTATCTTGATATTTTGCCATGTAGGCAGAGACCAAAAATGTGTTGTGTTTTTTTGTCTGGCTCTCAGCTGAATATTTTCTGAATTATCTCCTGAACAGAGCTGGCTCTGTATAAATTGAGACTGAAGCAGGAAGGAGCTCGCAGACCCTCTTCAACAGGCCAGACGTCCACTCAGGTAGGACAGAGTCATATGTCACTGCAGAGTTAACCTAATATTTCTAGTATGATATACTTTTAGACGTATTTACACAAGGACAAGATTTCACTATACATTGTACTTGGAAACGATTGTATATGTGACAATAAAGTTGATTCTATTGTACTCCATATTCTATTCAGTTTAATGCTATTGAATGACCCGAAGGTGGCAGTGTTTTATCTAAAATCAAATCTAGGCAAAGTCACATGACAGAAACTAAAACTGATTTCAGAGCATTTTCAGGCTAAACGAAACTGAAAGCCATAACTTGGAAATCAAAACTATAGTTTATACATAATGCAATCACTTATTCCAAACTAAGTCCTTGTCACTATATCATCTTTAGACATAGACATGTAATATGTAAGTCTATATGATATACAGAACAGCCCAAAATTACTCAATGATCTTTGATTTTTTAATTTTTTTGACTTAGTTTAATCATTAAGTTTTAATCTCCCTTCACTTTCACAGGACATCCCTGGAACTGTCAGTGACCCCACCAAGAAGGGTGCTGTTGGTCGGCTCAGTAGCTCCTCTAGATCTGATAGTGTACATCCTGAGGGCTTATCAACCACTGCACAAGGAGAGGCAGAGGAAGGGGATTTGTCAAGAAAAGACACAGTGAGTCTGGCTTTTAAATGTTTAAGCTTTGAACTGAATATTTTATGTAGCCCCATGTCATCTTTGGTTAGGGGTTAACCCTAACCCCCACATATTTGTGGAAACTATTTTATGACATTTATGATGTTTAATTCCTGCCAATAGTACCTGAAGAAGCTGCACATGCAGGAGAGGGCTATAGAGGAGGTGAAGCTAGCTATCAAGCCTTTCTACCAGAGGAGAGACATCAACAAGGATGAATACAAAGAGATTCTACGCAAAGCTGTCCAGAAGGTGGGTTAAAAAGTTTGCCCAGATACTGAAAGGTTTTGTCATTGACCAAAAACTTAGAGCCCTAATAGCTTTTGAATAATAAACTCAGGCATTTCTCAATGTTTCAATGAGTTTTTCCATAGAATTTATATGTAATTATCTTGTGTTTATGGTCATCAGGTGTGCCACAGCAAGAGCGGGGAGATCAACCCAGTGAAGGTTGGCAATCTAGTCAAGGCATATGTGGACAAATACAAACATGCTAGGAAACACAAGAAAGAGGAGGACTCGGGGAAGGCACAGGAGGTTCAGACTGAGGCCATGACAATGTCTGACAGCCCCTGAGGAGGCGTCAACTACAGGCAAGGACAGACTCTCCCACTGGAAACACTTCATATATTGTATTACAGTATGTTGTACTGTTTGTCCGACCACTGGGTGTGATCTCAAACTCTTTGACATAAATGATTTATTAAGATTTGCTCACAGCTTCAAGATGGAACTTTTTGTCTAATGTTGGGCTTTCTATCTTAACAGATTTTTCTTTTTGTTGATCACTTGAACAACACCTATTGGTGTCTTGTGCTTGGACCGTCACTGCCAAGAACCAGTGTTTTTGTGTAGTACAGCTCAGAAACTTAATAGGAGACCTTGAGGTTGTGCCTTAAAGAGGCAAATCTCAAAAGACCTTCCATGGAGTGATAAATCAGGTAGCTTTCTCCACAAGCATATCACTGGGAGGATGCAGCGTGGGCTTTGAGTTTTCTACTGTTTTGTTTTTGTTTATGGGAGGGAGGGGGTATTTAAAGCTCATTTTGTTGGTTAAGAAGTGTCATAAACGTATGCAGAGTATGCATATTAAAGATTTGTCAGATTAAGGAAAGACACTGTTATGCAATTTTTGTAGAAAATTTATCAGTAGAGTAATCAAACAATTTTAGATTTGGTTGTAAATAATATAGATTTGATATATCCACTTATATGTTTCTTTCATCTGTGTTGCCTGTTGTGAATGACATGAATGGTTCTAGTTTGTATAGTTAACTTGTTTGTGTTACCTCTGTTTTCCGTCTTCCACATCTCTGATATCCAAGTGTGTCTAAGGAGCTCAATGTAGTCCAGCATACTAAGGGGGAATTTTGGCTCAGTGGTTTGAATGATGGAGTCACTCTTCTCAGATAACAGCCTCTTCTCTTTAGGTGTACTTGTTTTGTTATGTTCTCAGCGTTAATCCTTTTTTTCAACCCACGTTTGAAATGTAGAAAACCAGGGAACATTTTGTTTTTGTGCCAAATGAGTAAAAATAATGATAATAAAAGAGAAATGTACCATTTCCTTGAATAAGTGAGATTTAATTTGTTTTTGGGCATTCTGTTTTTAAACAACGGAGACTATGACACCACAATGTAGTAGGCAGTGTAGATTTTATTTTGGAGTGAAAAGGATTATAGCACTGATTTCATTGTCACTGTCCAACCTGATGCTCTCACTGTCCACAAGCATTTTAACTAAAGTTTTTTTTTTTTCTTATTGTGTTTCATGTTTATTTACAAGTATTAAGCTCATTTTATTGCCATGATTTCATGGTTATGTGAGATCAATTTATAGTCCACATACTGGAAAAGTAATGGAACATCTCAGAAGTCAGCATTTCCAAGGTAGGTATGAAAGCCTTTAGTTGTGAATATTAACAGAATCTTTTCAGTGTTAACCTTGAGATGTCTGCGGTATTTAGGCCTCATTATGACTGCTTTATCGTTGTGTCTTTAGCCCAGATCTTACTCTGCATTGATTTCTTGAACAGAAATGTTAGAAACTCAGCTTATTCATTGTGTTGTCTATAGTAGTTTGTTTGTTTGCCTACTGTAAAGACAGATTAAGCGGGTGGTTGGACTTGCCTTTTACTTTGTTGTCATGTTTAATTTGGCTTTATAAAGCCAAGGTTTAGGAGTGGAAGAATCTCAAAAACAGGTGCTCATGTTTGTCTGAATGTATTTTACTTTTTTCTGCATTTACTTGATTGAACAGGCCAGGTGTTTCTAAGGGGGAACACTAATAAATCACTGATATGATAAATAGGGTTTTGCCTCAATTTAATTCAAGTACTTGCTCACATTTTCTCCTGTTCTATTTCAGTTTTAAGGGGGGCTTGAAGCGATAACACTTAAAGACATATTATGAGGTACATAATGATGGCTGTTGCTTTCTTCTTCTTTTTGACTGTCACATTTCAAACCGAGCCACCACAGCCTTTTTGTAGTCATTTGTCAATTTACTTTTTCAGTTAGAAAAAAAAATGTATTTCTTTTTGGGTAATCATGGACAAACTTGATACTACAGTATAAAGGCTCGGCATCGGGAGCTACTACAAGGACTTTTAGTTTTCACAGCCCAACTATTTGGAGAAAATAAACTTGATTTGGCTGTAAGAAAGCAGTAAATTAGACCCTAAAATTGATCTTTTATAAGATTGCCTCCCAGAATTTGAGTCGTACACAGTGATAATTAACAAATGAGACCTCATTCAAGATAAAACAGTTTATTTGGAATCCAAATAATGCCAGTTAGGTTTATTCAGTATGAAAAAGTGCAAGATGACCAGCTATAACATATATATGTATATATATATATATATGTAGACAAACTGGCAATGACACATTAAAAACGTAGACTCATAAATTATTTAACTTTACTTTAGCTGCAATATACAAGCTCATACATATGTGATCAAAAACCTTTGTTAAAATGGATTTATCATCATGTAAAGCATAATTTTATAACTACATGCAAATAATATCAATTGAACCATACATTTCATTAAAAGAGACTTAACATTTACAGTACTTGTATAAAAGTTAATTTAAGGCGAGGCCATTGGCCTTTGAGTTCATTAATGTAACAGTCCAATAGTTGAGTCAATTTCTACTTATGTAGTGATAAAAACATAAGGTGAATGGAAGACAGTGCAAAGCATGGTGGAGTTACATCAATATAGCATATTATGCATTACCCAGTTAGATTCTGGTAGTTCTTGTTTAATCTACTAGTCTATTCATCTATTCAATGGGTCAGCAGTTTTTAGTGGAGCTTTGGGTAAGTGTGGGATGTGGTGCATCATGTGGTCCCACAGTGAAATAGTTCCTAGAAAGTGAGTGCAAAATAAAATTTCAAATCAGATGCTGAAAATATGCAGCAGAGCGTGCTGACTCCAGCTCAGCTGTTTGCAGACCAAAGACAGAGTTAATGAGGTCATAGAGGCTGTTGTGCGAGATCTGTAGGCTGACATTGGCGCTGTGAAGAGACGAAGCCCCCTCAATCTGGGCCATCTCGTGAAGGTGTCGACAGATCAGAGGAACCACCTACAGGGGCAAAGGGACAGAGACATCTTACAGCACTTAAAAACTGCACACCTGGAGGGAGGTGAATGCAAACACGGCATGTGTCTTTCAGGGGAACGTCAGGAAAAATGGAAGGAGTGTTACCTTGACTACGATAAGCTTCTTCTCCAAAGCTTTTCCATCAGGAAACTTTTCTCCAAAGCACAGGTTAATGGTGTATTCAGGGGAGCCGCCGTTGTTCTCTTTAAACTGCTTCAGTTCTAAACACAGATACAGGCGGATCCATGTATTTCACAGTGAAAGCTTCAAATGAAATGTAACAGTAATAATAAAGTATTAGTATTAGTATTTTTGTTAAAATAACTGAGCAAGAGATCCACACCTACCATTTACATACTTCTCAAAGTTAAGAAGCTCCACCATGGTGTTCCCGGGCAGCTTCCTTGGGTCTGGGTGAGCCACACTGGGGTCACTGGTGCTAGCAAACACATGGCATCTGTCCTGCCTCCAGGCATAGATACCAGTTTCCTGTACCTCCAAGAGTAGACCTTTCTGGATGCTGTTAAGGATGCGGTTGGTGAATTCAATCTGGTAAAAAAAAGGTGATTAGAAAAACTTTGATATATATAATATATATATATATAATATTGGTGCATTCTAGCATTTATAAGGTGATGTAATCAGTTGTTTTTGAATGAATTTGGTTTGTCTGACTCTACTTCAGTCAGTGACTTCCTATAAGAGATATAGAGCCAATTAAAGTTATTGTGAAGGAGCAAACTCCAAACATTTACAGCCCTCTATCAAACCCAAGTATCCGTCCTTGGCACACATATAAATTGAAAGATACCCTGGAAGTTAGTCACGCTATGGAGCATTGTTTTTACGAGTAGGTCCCGATTAAGTTACAGCCATACAACAAACATTTATTGTAATTATTAAGGCCAAGAGATAGACTGGAAATCCCCATATTTCTCATCTCAGTTGTACCGATACCAAAATATACTTCTAATATCCAGGGCCCAATACATCTCACATACTTAGATGAATCTAAGAGTGGAACTAGTGACTGAACCTGGCTATTAATGTTCATGAATTTCAACTCCTATTAGGAACTGTAGAACATATCATTTTTTTAAATTTTGTTTATGTATTGTTCTGTATTTTATCTTCACATAATTTGCCAAAGAAAATAAGATGAACTGTTAACTGGTGTTCCAGTTTTTTGCTGTTTGTGGAGTCACACAAAATGTCCAGCTAATGTAATCACGTACCTGTTTGTGGTCCAGCAGACCATCAGTGGATGGGAAGCAGAGATGAGTGGCTTTGAGCTCAGGGGCCTCGTGGTGGTAATGGAGCTGGAGACGGTTAGTGGTCAACGTGGTTTTTAGCATTTCTTTTTTCCTGTAGTGGATAGAGACCTCCATTTGATATATACTGGGATGGAGAGGTGAAAGGACTGGAGCAGGATGTTCTGTAAAAAAATAATATTAGACATCACATATTTACATATAATCAATTGGAAACTTTTTTTTTCCAGTGTAGTATTTAATTTCAGTTTCGATTTTATTTTGCTGAACATACCCTCAAGGTAAGCCGGCTGCTCTGGGTGGATCTCAGCTGCAACAGGATAACTTCCAAGGACTGCTGGATTGTGCTGATCATAGTTCTCTGTCCACTGTGGCTTCTCTATAATAGACAATAAAAAGCACATTATACTACATTTAACCTCCATTATAAAACATTTCAAAATCATAAAACATGTAGAGAAGATAATTTATACAATTTATACAGTATTGCCATCTGCACAAGACTCCTGTACCTGGTTGATGATTCCCAAGATCCAAAGCCATTAAATTGTTAAGCAGAGTATGCTGTTTGGAGGAAAAAGACATAGTATTATTTAATAAGCATTAAAGGGGAAGCAAACATCACAAAGAAATCCTTGACAGAGAGAGAGAAGTGAAAGTGTGCTCCAGGTCATACTGTACCTCAATTCCTGAGGGGAAGCACTCTATGGGAGAACTGTAGATATCCGGAGCCATATCAGAATCCTCCCGGAAAACCTGTGCTTGCACATTCTCATAGTTGTCTGCAGATAAAGAAAACAGACCCACATTCATTTGCATTCAAACTCAAAATGGTTCCACAGTGAAGGACTTTGATTAAGTGACTGTAGTCTTACACTCAGTGTTGATAATCTCGTAGATTTTATGAGGGTCGTCTGAATTCTTGGAATTATCATTTATCATCTTGAAGCGCACAGATAGGTTGTTCAGAGCGCACCGGAAGTTGGTTTTCCACCTGGCCTTGTCAGTGGGGAACTCGCTGATTTTACCACTTGCTACAGCCCACGCCTGTCGACCACACAAAAAGAAGTGAAAACATGATGAGAGCTTCGCCAGGATTAACCATTAACTACTAATTATATATGAGAAAGCAGCTCTGGTTTCTGCTACAGTTATTGTCATTGTTTTGTGAAGGAAATGGCAGGATTTTTTGGGGCATTTACACTGCAGCATTGCTTAGTTTGCCTCAAGGAAAGTGGAAGGTGGCACCACCAGTGTTGGTATGCTATAACTGCCCCTGGCAACACCTGCCACACATCAGTGCTCTGACAGTAATGAAGTGAAGGAATCCCTAATGAACCTTCACTGTCATTTCCTACAGTGTGTGGCTTATGAGGCCGGTGTTTGTGGTAAAAAAGTACTACTTAAAAGTTTGAATCCTTTGTAAATCCAAAGGTATATAACTGATAATACTAATGACTGTAGCTGTGTCACAAATCAACAAAATCATTAGCTTTGATCTAATCACATGTTGTCAGATAACAGTAATGATGATAATAATAATAATAATAATAATAATAATATACTTTATTGTCCTTCACAGGAAATTTGTTACCGCAGTCTGTACATACATACATACATAGATACAACGACATAACAACAAAAGTAAACACTTAATACAGCACACTTAGCACATTTACCCCTCCCTGTCCTGATAGTGCTGTGATTTCATGAAGGCCGTTGAACCTACCCGAAATATTTTACTGTCCTCATCATTGCAGTCCTTCCTGGAGTTGTGCTTCCAAGGGACTCTGAACTTGTTTTGGCCCACATAGCACAAGCCTGGGTACTGGCCGGTCTCAACCTGCTCTATGAGCCAGCTGGCAAACTGAGGCTTTGGAGGGCTGAGGAGAAACATGACGGATCAGTGTTGTTATTTAATGAAATATCTCCAACATGAGAAAATAAAAGACAGGCGGCCCCTTCACCACGCACACACGCACACATGCACACACAGGACAGCGCACTGTGGTGAAGGCTCCAGTCAGCTTACACAGTTAAGTTTTCACAAAGACAGAACACATCCACATAAACCTCAACATGGTCTGTCCAAACAACATGCAGCAGCCTGCGCACTTCACTGGACTTATTGACCATATTACACCAAAGGATCTGAATAAGTCTACAACCACCACACCACGTTTTACAAGGAAGTAGCTCTTTCACAATATGTGCAACAACAACAAAAACAATGACACATAATGAACAAGCAAGGGAGAGAAAGAGACGAGGTTGTTGTTTTTTTTCTGCCTACCTTTGCATATTTCTCTGCAGAGGTCTTAATCTCATCGGGGTGTTAGTCTGTAGTCTCTGAGGACCATGGCTGCATTTATACAGCCCGTGACATCATGTGAGGTTTTCATGTATCCTCCGCCCCCCCAAAAAAACT